ATTAAATATATTTATTTAATTGCAAGTTAATATGTAAAATTTTGTATAATTGCATTTTAATTCAAATGTATCAAGTTGGTGTATCATGCTTAATAAAATGACTAATATTTACTATAATATTATTATATATTTTCTATATACTACTATAGTTATTTTTAGTTATGCTTAAAACAATACCTGTAAAAAGACTTCTAAATGCTAAATGACTATAAAGAGTTTTGTAGATGAACATATAGATTATATAATAATATTTGTTTTATCTTTAGTTAATATATAAGTTATTGTACAAGAAAGTGCCAAGTATTAGTAAAAATAAAAAAATGTAATATTGGTTTATTATTTGTGTACAAGTATTATTAGTAAAATGAATATAGAATTTCTTAATTTCTACTGTATTTTGGATGTTTATATGATCCAGAATAATGTTATAAAATATAATAGCTCTAAAACCAATCAATTATTAGATTAAAATCTATAAAAAAAATAGTTTTTTGCTTTTTTAAAAAAACAGTCTTGGAAGTTTTATAAATTATTTCTTTAGAGCCATGGCCTCATCATTAATATTTAAAAAAAAAAAAAATTATTTCTTTTTTTATATATAAAAAACCTCTTGCAATTATTATTTAATTCAAAACTCTTTAATAAAATAATCTTATAACTATTATTTTTTAAATATTATAAATAAAAATTATTTCTTATTTAATTTTTTATTTTGTTATTTTTTATAATTTTATCTTTATTTATTTTATTTTATTTTTTTTTCTTATAATAATATAAAGTGAAAAGCTGGTTTTCTTATTTAATTATTTGACAAATACTAATTTTATATTATTAAAATTTAAAGACCATATATAACTATAAATAGTCTGATTATTAAGACTTTTTTTGATTATATTTTACAGATATATTTAAGTTTAAAAGTCTAATAATCCTTATACAAAGTAAATATTTTGTTATATCTAATTTATACAAACTGAATAGTAAAATTTAATTTAAAAACTAATTCTATTATATTATTTTATAATGTCTAAAAGACTATTAAATTTAAATTTTATGTTTTATATATTTATTTTTTATTTTTGTTTATTTTTATTTATTTTATTTTTCTTTAAATAAAAAATCTTCTATTTATTATTTATGTTATTTAAAGTTTATTACAACTTGCTAGTTTTTAGTAAATTTTATTATAATACAAAAATTTCAAATTAGAAGGTTTAAATAAAACATCTAAACAAAAATATTAAGTACAACAACTAATAAAAAACCTCTAAACAAACTCCTTAAATAAAAAAGGTGTGATGACCTAGTAAAGTGGATAGGTTATTAACTTTCAAGTGGCAGGTCTAGAGTTCAAATCCTAGTGACAATGAAAATTTATAATTTTTTCTATGTTATAATTAACTGTCTTTTATAATTGATTAGGATAAAACACCTATAAACTATATTATATCAATATAACTAGAAGGTCTAAGCATTCATGCAATATTGTAAAAAGAAACACAAATTGGTACTGAGTAGTGTAAACCTAAGTTAAGTCCTTAGATTATGTAAATTACAGAAACCAGATAGAAAGATAAAAGCCTATTTGGAAAACCTGAATAGAGAGAAAATCTGAATCTTTGACAGTGCTACTGTAAAAACTAAATCTATGAAATGGAGCTAGAACTTGTGAAACTAGGTAAAGAGCTGACCTTTGAGAAGAGGTTGAATAGAACCAATCAGGCTATCAGAGTTTGTTCTAGAGGAAAAGATTACATGTCGATATATATATAAACCAGAGATGTATAGTTATGACTTGTCTTTTTAGGCTATTTGGTTTGGAAGCTTGATGAAACTTGAATTAAATACCAAAGTAGTAAGGATATGTTGTAAAGTCAATACCAAAGTTAAGGTAAACTCTATAAAGACATAGTGGTTTAATGGTATGCCCTGACTGCTAGTATTGATCTCAGTCATAGTAATATCAGGTTAGTTATAAGAATGAAATACAAAAGATTCAAGAAGGTTTAGTACAAGATTAAAGATTCTTCATGTGAGTTAACTGCTTTAAAGACTTAATAACTATAATATATTTTTATCAGTATTAGTCAAGATTATTGGTAAGCAGAGATAGATAGGTAGATATAAAAACTAAAATGGTTAAATAATGAACCTACAAGCAGGTTCCAGGTATGACAACTAGTATAGAACCTTTGGGTAGATTACTTAAATTAAACAATGACTAAAGTTGTACAAATGACTAGTTGTACACTCTTTTTATGATTACTCTCTGTAGTTATAATGCAACCATTAACCAAATATACTATCAATAAAATCCTGAATCACAAATACTCATCTTAATATTTAAAAAAAAAAAAACTTCTTAAATAAATAATATAAAAAAAAGTTATATATATAATCAGTTGTATGCTCATCATAATGCTTAACAAAAGTATTAATAAAATCAAAAAAACCAAAAAGATCACCTTAATACTGAAAAAATAATAATAATAAATATAAATATACACTATAATAAATTCATCTATTTAAATAATAAAACTTATTATATATTTGTACACTATATACTTTTATTTTCTAAATTTTTCAAAGTCACCTAAGTATTTAATAAATATAATTTTAAACATCTTGGCCGTTTTATTTCTATCTCCAACATAATAAGTATAATCAAAATTTGATGAAAATCTTGAAATTTCTAAGGTTGAAAACTCTAAGCTAAGCTCCAAAATTGAAATGATTACATCAATTTTGTTTTCAAAACACCGCTGATTATCATCTTTTAGTAATTGATTGAGTAGAATGACAAAACAATGCAAGGTCTTTTCACTCCTGTTAAAACAAAAACCACGTATAATAACTAAAGATATGAAAAAATATTACCTAACACATCAAACCTATTTTTAACTTATCAGCTGCATTTTAAAAGTGTCCTATGTTTGAATAACATAATACATACGCAAAAGACAAACCTAATAATATAATCATATTCGGTTGGATCTTCTTTGAAGTAATTTCTGCCATTCGGGAATTGCTTCCGGCTATAATAACACAGAAATGCAATGAGTTCGTTGATGGCCCAAATCCGATTACAATACAAAAACAACACAGGATATTTAACATTTTCATCAACTTCAAAGACCGCTTCTTCCATTTTATATTTCCGTCCGCATGTAACTTTTCACGTTCTGTCATTATCGCATTGCATAATCTTTCCACGGTGTTCTGATGAAATAAACATAAATTGTCACGGCAATTTTTCCTTATTAGGCCATAAAAAACCAATAGCAAATCAAAATCACCCAACATCCACTTACCACATTTTTCAATATTTTCGTTAAATATTGCCTGATGTCTTCCGCTCACCCATCTTGTTCCATATCTTGATCAGCTAAAGCTAAAACGGAGTCAGAATCTGAAGATAGCGATGTTGTATCTGGTCTAGACATCAAAAGCTTTTTTATGATGCTGATTATATTGTCCCATTCATGTTTGAAGAGCTCTCGTGCTTTTGTTCCAGATGAATTGATCGTGTCAATAATGTTATAACGCATTAAACTGTAAAATAAAATTGTCAGTAAGAAGGCGTATAGTTATATTAAGGGGATAATAAAACAAATATACATACTCTTGTTTGTGTATTTCTTTGACGTATTTTGATGATTCGCGCCACTTATCTATTGTTGACCGGATACACATATTGTTAATAATTGATTTGTAATTAACAATTGCACCAGAATTTTCTTGGAAAAGAGAGTCTTCTAATTCTCCTTCGAGAACATTATCCTAATGACCCTGTGACTCTAGAGTAACGTTAAGTTCCTCATTATCATAATTATTATTATAGTTTCGTGTGTTTGGTTATGAGAGGAATGAACTGGGAAAAAAAACTTGTTGATTTTCGAATCTATTTTCGACTTTTTTGTTCGATCTTTACGATCGTCCTTAAAGGATAAATACAATATGGTTAATACAACTCATCATCAACTTCTAGATAAAAAAAAAAACATACCTCTTCACGATCCCTTTTCGGTATAATTGATCCAGAAGCGAAAATTCCATTCTTGTTAATATTTACAAACCCGTTAATATTTTCACCGGTAATTGTTGATTAGTGAAGTTATATCCTATTACGAGATCTTTCACTATTACAATTTTTTGCAACTTGACGATCACTTCCATCACCCTAATATAAAGGAACAGTATCTGCCGGATCAGCTAGAACGACCTAGAAATTCACCTGCACCCCAGCAGGGCCATTGTTAGTAAGCTAGAAACTTGAACGCAGAACAGAACGACCTAGAAAGTCATCCTAACGACCTAGAAAGTCGCCTGCGCCTAACAAGGCCGGTATCAAACAGAACGAGCTAGAAGGTCACCTGAGTCTTAACGTATAAAATTGCATTTCTAATATAAGCTTCACAATCCCTTATACTTGCCTTCTTGTAATTATCGAGCAATTGTTGCGCCTTTATTTTTCTGTTGCCTCCCCCTTCTTTAACAACTGCCTCGAGACTCCTAGTATAGCAATCGATTTTCAGATCAAACGATTCTAAGTCACATTCTTCCAGAAAGTCCCGAATGGTCCAATCTTTAGAAACGCTATCAAAATATTCATGTACGAACATGACTAATATTAAGGTGAGTTTCGACTTCAGAGTTAATATATGGATGATCGATGGTTCCACAAAACTCACCACGTGTGACATCATAGGCAGGAATTCGTCTGATTGGCTAATGTAAATCAATTGCTTGGGTAACTTATTTATATGTTTTAAAGTACTTTTTGAGAACGCAACATTATACAAGTAACCATTCTTAACAAACATCATCTTTAGCTTCGAAGAGGTACTAGAAAGCTAACTTTAAAAATAATCTCTAAATTACTTCTCAAATTATTTTACCATTTAGTCTGTCAAAATTAATCTTTCTGAGTGGCGAAATTAATTTGAATTCTTTACATCAAAATACATTAGATACAGGTGGGTGACAAAAATATTTCCACACCTAAGGACTTGGCTTATAACTCAAAAACTTACTAATTAAACTAGATCCTTGATTTGACTATAGTAATCCTTACTCTTTGAGGATTATTTCATATCATTTTTAGATTACATGCTTGCATAATTAGCAAGTTATTTAACTTTACTTTTAGGGTTTTGATAAATTATGTAAGTGTCTGTGTTTCTGTGAACATATTTCAATAACTATTAGTCTAATTTTAATGAAATTTTACCAACTTATAGAGAAACCTTTTCTCTATCTACTGTAAAAATTTGATCAAATTTTGATCAATAATCAGCTAAGGAATTAAAAAAAACAAAAATTTTATAAGTCAAACTTCTAAGCTAATTTTCTCAATGATTATTAATCTAAAATTAACAATTTTTATTTTAACTAATAGATTTGCACTTTCTCTACAACATAAAAAAAAAATTGGCTAAATCTAATTACTAGTTGCAAAGATAAGTCAAATAATCTATTATAATATGTCAAATTTTATTCATCATCGTATATCTTGATTATCTCGGCAACCAGTTACAGACTTGCTAATTTTTTTTTTATTTCGTAGAAGAGACGTAATACTTTAAAATAAAAAAAAGCTTGTCTGATTTTAATCTCTAGAAGTCGAGATAATTGAGGTTAAAGTTTACTATTAAATTAGTAATATTATGCCACAATTTTCGTCGGCGATTGTCACGATCATCATGTGACATAATCGTTAAGGTACTTACATGTATTTTCTAACCTCAGTCTTTTATTAAGCACCTTTTATTATTATTTTTTTTTTTCTTGGTATCTAGCTAGATTAAAGAAAATACAATCTTAAATCTCCCGGCTAACTTTAGTAGTTTATTTAATGATATCTACTCAATTATATATTTCTGGGCATATATTTGCATCATTTTTATAATACACATATGATACGTATGTATATGTACAACTTTTAAAAGATAACTAATAAGTAAAAATAGTTATGCTTAGTGGCTTATTTACTTAAATAAATTAAATTAGCTAGTAAAATATGTATGAACTAAACTTAAATAAAATAATTTAAAAGTACTACATATTA